CCTCCCTGCTTTCCTTCCTTCCTATCTATAGTGCTCCCTCCCTTCAATCCTTCCTTCCTTTCCTCCCTGCTTTCCTTCCTTCCTATCTATAGTGCTCCCTCCCTTCAATCCTTCCTTCCTTTCCTCCCTGCTTTCCTTCCTCTCCTTCCCTATAGTCCTCCCTCCCTGAGAAGGTGATTCCTTCCATGGTCCGGTAAACTGTCTCAGATTTGTTCCTGGTGCCTGAAGTGGTTCTGGGGGTGTCTCAGGCCCCCGGATCTGTAAAGTGTGGCGTGTTAAATGGTTCTCACCTCCAGTATTGTTCTCCTTTCTGTGTTTCCTCCTGCTGTTGCTGAGGACAGCTGCTGTTTGTCCGACACCAGTTTAAAATGGCGTTCCTCAGTGAGCTGAAGCAGGACACCCAGAACGCTCTCAAGTAAGTTTTATTCCTGATGCTGTTAAAAATGCTTAACATTTCTTCTGTAGGGCTAAACCAAGCCCCGCCCAATTACAATTGGTCCTGGTTGTGTAGGGCCCTGGCCCAAACCGGCCACTAAACACCAACCCAAGGTCCATGGAGGTTCTGCCACATTAAGGGTCAAACCAGTACTGGGTGGGGACAGTAGACCCTTCAGCCCTTAAATACAGGCTGTGTCCAAATGTTCGCCCTGATCCCTACATAGGGTCCTATATAGTGGTTATGCCATTTTAACTGACTGTCCAAACGTCTAGTGGATGAAAAAGTAGCGGTCTCCAAATTTCCCACAATGCACCTTGAAAGGTAGTGATCACTGTCAGTACCCGATCCGTCCCATCAGCTCATCATCAACCAGAAATCAATCTGGATCGCCCTTGATTTTATTTTGTAAAAAAGACCTAAATTACTTTTTTCTCCCCTTAATACTAGTGAGCGTACTAAACTATAATGTGTTAAAGGTTAATGATGTATTTCCTGAGAAAATAAATACATTAAAATCCTTTCTGTTTTATTCCATCTGTTCCCGATCTGTACATGAAATAGGATGCTACGCTACTTCCTGGAGCTAACTTTATCAGCTTTGGATCTAAACATCAATCTAGTCTTTGTTTTCCTTTCGTTTTAACAT